CCTTGATGACTAAACAAAATAGAAAGGGGGCGAGAGGGTTCCCCTGTTGCACGCCCTCACACGAGTCTATTTCATGGTCCCCAAACAATAGTTTGGAAGTCACACTATAACACGATTCTGTGAAGGGATAAAGGGAAGAGAAGTTTCTATTAACTGCTTGGAGAGCAGCATCCCTTCAAAGCGTTGGCAAAGTCCAATTTGACCAAGGCTTTTTCATCGGACATGTTTTTGATATATACTCGTGCTGCGTGGGCAGCTGCTTCACAGCCCTGTTGAACGCCGAAACCGAGCTGAGTTGGTTTCAGCATTGCAGCAGCCTCTTGACTCACCCTTCTTACTGCAAACTTGGCGACTAGGCGCCGAAGGGTGTTGTCCACTGCCCAATTAGCAAGATCAGACATACGTTTAAAAACATATTTTTTTTCATTGATGATAAAGTAAAAATTAATTATTTTGTACCAAAAGAGCCTTAGAAAACTTACCTGACCTTATTATAAAACGCGCAGTTTATATTTATAAATGTGTTAGTACTAGCTATTGAATAGTATTAATAATGATGTTAAGGCGCATAAAACTATATTTATTTTTAAAGATAACATTCTTTGCAATAATAATAGTAATAAACATAATAATAATTAATATTATTTGAATTATTCTCATTAAATAAACACAAAACCATAAACATTTGCATGTCTTACCACGCCGAGAGTAAATTAGACGTCAAATTAAGCAAGCAGTTGCCAAATATAATTTCGTAATTGAAATGGAGAACATAGATATATTAAATATTTCGCACTTCTTGAGAATATTGTTTCTTTTAGTATGTTAGATGACTGATGCTGGGACAGTCAAAGCTTTCACTGGTGGAAATAACACTGAGTAAAAATCACGGTGACCTTTAAAATATATATCTATTTAAATCACGGTTTTTACATTTTTATTTTTATTTACAAAAGCGAGAAGTCAAAGTAGAATTTATAGAAAATATAAGTTAGTCAAACATTTTTCACTCAGAATATTTATTAGTCCATATGTTGCTGCTCTGGCAAAATTGCTTAGCTTCTGATGACGCATGGAGCGGTGTGAAAGATCGTGAGGTGGAGATTTCCATCCTGTGGCTTGTCTTGCATTGTTAAGATATCCTGTCTGCGATTGTGCTGCATATATATGTAAATGTATATTATTAATATATATATATATATAAAATATATATATTTATATATATATATATATATATATATATATATATATATTATATTATTTTATATTAGCACACTGGCGATTCCCACCAAGGCAGGGTGGCCCGAAAAAGAAAAACTTTCACCATCATTCCACTCCATCACTGTCTTGCCCAAAGGGTGCTTTACACTACAGCTTTTAAACTGCAACATTAACACCCTTCCTTCAGAGTGCAGGCACTGTATATATATATATATATATTAATATATATATATATATATATATATATATATATATATATTATATATATATATATATATATACATATTTATCATGGATAATGTCACTGTAAAAGGAACTAAGAATTGTGTTTGTGTGCAATGTGCGTTATGTGTGTGTGTGTGTGTGTGTGTGTGTGTATGTGTGTGTGTGTGTGTGTGTGTGTGTGTGTGTGTGTGTGTGTGTGTGTATGGTGTGTGTGTGTCTGTGTGAGTGTTTTTGTATGTGATTACAGAATTGTGAGTCACTTCTTCAAGGAGTGTCTCCTCTCAGGAATAAGTCAGACTTGGGGCAATTTGAAGACCTTTGTTCTCTTTTATGAAACTAAACCTGTGAATGGCTCCGTGTTGCAAATCATTGTGTTTTATCTGGCTCATTAGAGAAGATTGCTGCCCTATTTCTTTCTTTTTCATTTCATGGCGTGAGAATGCAGGAACTGGGGTGATATGAGGCTGTTAACGTGTCTGGAATGAGCTCTTTCACAAAACATTTCTGTGGCTATGTAAACAACTTATAAACCAAAATTTCTAAAATTTTAATTGAATTATTATTATTATTATTATTATTATTATTATTATTATTATTATTATTATTATTATTATTATTATTATTATTATTATTATTATTTTAATTCTTATTATTCTTGTTGTTTCATTATTATTATTATTATTATTATTATTATTATTATTATTATTATTATTATTATTATTATTTGCATTATTATTTGCATTATTATTATTATGATGGTGATGATGATGGTGATGATGATGATGATGATGATGATGATGATAATGATTTCTCTAGAAATAGTAATACACGATTACAAACAAACCATATGACTATCTTGTTATAAGTTCGAGCCCCACTCGTTTTATGAGTTGTTTTTATAACAATAAGTATTATTATTATTATTATTATTATTATTATTATTATTATTATTATTATTATTATTATTATTATATTATTTTGTTCATAAGTAATGCTAAACCTCTAGAGGTTTATCAGCGCCTAGGAGACAAGATGCATTCACATTTGATCCAAA